GGTCTACACAAAGAAACCCTGTCCCAGAGGGAAAAAAATTATCTGAAACTTTATTCTGATGAATCAATAAAATTTGTATACCTACTGCTACATTATAGATTTAAGTGTACACACTACTGAAAGCTTTTCTGACACAACCTAACAAGGCACCAAACATTTTTTGAAACTACAAAAGTGTTTTTAAAAGCTCACTACTGAGATTCAACAAGTATGAACTAGTTTGATTTTTCAATATTCTAACAATAAATTAAACTTGTTCCTCAAAAAATCCCCGATAGCCTCCAAAACAATATAGAAACCCCGTCTCGTAAAAACCAAAAAAAAAAAATTTAAATCCAAAAGAGATGGCTCAGCTGTTAAGAGCACTTACTGCACGTACACAGGACCCAGGTTAAATTTCCAGCATCTACTTGGCAGCTCATAACTTCCTACAACTCCATTTCCAGGGGACACAATGCCCTCTTCTGACCTCCATGGGCACTACATGCACACAGTGTGCACATACACATCCAGATAAAACGCTCAAAAGATGAAAATTAAAATTTTAAAATCCAAGTTCTCCAAAGTATGACAGATGTTACCTGCACCAGAATCACAAGAGGAGCATGCTAAAGGTGTGTGTACACAGCTCAAGCTGATGGTACAAGCCTATGACCCTAGTCCTTGGGAGATCAGACATTAAAGATAGACCTCAGTTACACAGCAAGTCTGAGACCAGCCTGGGCTACATGAGATCCTTCTCAAAAACAACAATAAAAGTACAGACACAAGCTAGGTGTTGGTGGTACACACCTTTAATCCCAGCACTCAGGAGACAGGCGGATCTCTTTGAGTTCGAGGCCATCCTGGCCTACAGAGCTAGTTCCAGAACAGCCTCCAAAACCAGAGAAACCCTGTCTCCAAAAAACAAAACACAAAAAATACAGACACAAGAGGTGGAGGTATAATCAGTAGTAGAGAGCTTGCCTCGAATGATAAAGGTCCTGAATTCAAACCCCCCCTCCTTGAAAATAAAGAAGGCACAGTTAAACTAAGGAATGGAATGGAATAGAATGGAATGGAATGGAGATGACTTAGCTATTAAGATCATTGGATGCTCTTCAAGAGGACCTGGGTTCAATTCCAGCACAATTTTAGGGGATCTGATGCCCTCTTCTGGCCAAAGGCACCAGGCACACACATGCACAAATATACAAGCAGGCAAAACACCTCACAAATAATTATTTTAAAAGGTATAATTACAGCCGGGCGTTGGTGGCGCACGCCTTTAATCCCAGCACTCGGGAGGCAGAGGCAGGCGGATCTCTGTGAGTTTGAGGCCATCCTGGTCTACAAAGCGAGTTCCAGGAAAGCCTCCAAAACAATACAGATAAACCCTGCCTCGAAAAACCAAAAAAAAAAAAAGGTATAGTTACATGAAGTCAATCTCAAATCAAATAAATCTCTGGAAAAAAAACAAAATCAACATCTAATAAGCTCTACGGATGATTCATATCTTTAAAAGATATATGTGTGGCAATGTTACAAGCAACTGTAAGCCCCCCATGAGCTCCCATGGTGCTGGGAACCCAACTTTGGTCATCTACAAGAGTAATCGGTGCTCTTTCCAGGAGTTGGTGGCAGTAGCACAAACCTTTAACGCCAGTACTCAGGAGGCAGAGGCAGACGGATCTCTGTAGCTCCAAAGCAATATAGAGAAACCCTGTCTGGAAAAAAAAAAAATATCGGTGCTCTTAATCAGAGCCATCTCTCCAGTTTCTCAAACTGTGGGTTATGACCCCCATTACCAAACCTCTATCTCCAGAAATATTTACATTACAGATTCGTAACAGTATTTTATGAAGTGGCAACAAAAATAATTTTATGGGTCAGCACAACTTGAGGAACTGTATGTGTAAAGGGTTGAAGCGTCAGGAAGATGATTTTTTTGTTTTTTAGATTTTTTGAAACAAGGTTTCTCTGTGTAGCCCTAGCAGTCCAGGAACTCACTCTGCAGACTAGGCTGGCTCAGACTTACTCTGAGATCAGTCTGCCTCTGCCTTCCAAGTGCTGGGATTAAAGATGTGTGCCAGCACCACCTGGCTTTTAGATGATTCTTAGAGCCATCTTTTGAACACACATTCTGCAAATAGGAAATAGAGATGAACATGTAAAAAAATAGATTTAAACTGTGCTACGAAATGCAAAGGGCACATATAAAATTTACTATTGACAAAATATTTCCTAGACTGCCTAAAAATGGCTGATTCAATACTTGTTTTAGATACTCCTCAGAAAGCAAAATTACTTAGAAAACAAAACTACTTAGAAGTGACTGCGTTTATTCATTTACACTTATTTTAGTTCAAAACAAAAGGCAGGAGAATTGAGGGAATTTATAGATTATTCTCTGTCCACAAATTTTAGAGAGCCAACTTTGTAGCTTCAGTCCTCAACTAATCAGTCAGATACATTTGCATCTTTGGTTCTCTGTAAATGTCAACCCTAACACAGGCATTCACAAGAACACTGAATCTCATGTACCTTGTTATGCTCTTAAGGGCTATAAGCAGCTTTCCTCTTTACACCTATTATCACTTAGTATCTCCATCAACCAAAACTTAAATTTTAATTTACTTCTTATTGTTGTATTTGTAGACAGGGTTTCACTGTGAACTCACTATGTAAACCTTGAATGCAACAACCTCATGCCTCAGCCTAGGTGATGGGATTTTTGGTATATGCCACCACCACACCCAGCTCAGAATTTTATTGCTGGCCGAGCAATGGTGGTGCATGTCTTTTAATCCCAGCACTCAGGAAACAAAGGAAAGCCCCCTAAATTCAAGGTCATCGTGGTCTACAGAACAAGTGTTCCAGAGCTACACACAGAAACCCTGTCTCAAAGGAATAAAAAAAAAGATGAAGAAATAATTCAGCTCTCCAATTTCTTAGTAGGAAATATCCCTAGGGAAAAAACCAAATTCAGCATTTCTCACAAAGCCAATACCCACCCTAATACCAAATGTGCCCTTGTATAACATCTGGTATCAGTCTTTACTACCCATTCCAAAGAATTTCTTGCCTAGATCATTGTCAAGATTCTAACTGGTCTCCCTGCCTGCAGTCTTGCCTCTCCTTGTTCAAGTGCCCTAACGTTATCTTTCTGGATTTTCCTTTTGATAGAAAAACTTCAGAAGTTGGACTAGCTCAGCTGACCAAGTGCTTGCCTACCACACATGAAACCCCAGATTCCATCACCAACTGCTTCAGAATATTTGTTTAACTATGCAAAGATGTACTGCTTTTTTACCTTGCTTGTCTAAGGCACCTGACTGGGTCTAATAAAAAGCGGAAGAGCCAATAGTAAGTGAGGAGGTATAGGCAGGACTTCCTGGCAGGAAAGTAGGAGGAGGAATTGAGGGAAGGGGGGCAGAGAATCAGAGGAAGCAGACAAGTAGGACATAAAAACATGAAAGAAAGGTAAAAAGCCATGAGGCAAAACATAGATGACCAGAAACAGGTTAAACTAAGTTATACAGTGGGACAAGGCTAAACAAAAGGTTGAGCACTAGTAATTAATAAGTCCCTGTGTCTTTATTTGGAGCTAGTTGGCACCCCAAAGAAAATTCCAACTACAACCAGAACTATATAAATCTAGAAGTAGTGGTTCATGGCTATATTCCCGGATGTCAGGAGGTAGAAGCATTAAGATCAGAAGTTCAAGTTCATCCTAGACACTATATAGAGTTTGAGGCCAGCCTAGGATAAAAAAGATCCTTCAGGAATGTCCTCTATAGGATAAAACCCAATCAACCCTTTGTTATAATCCACAATTCAAGGCAGTTCCAAAATCAATTCAAAAAGCTTTGAAATTTTAAGCCTTTTTAAAGCCAGCTTGTCAAAAAAAATAACTCTCTTAATTGTAGGATGTATCTACTCAATTAATGTATTAATTTCGATATAGAAATATTGTTTCATAATGAGTGGGTTAACCTATACCCACAAGAGATTTTTCTAGGAAAAAGGAAAATTCCAATACTGCATCTCAAAGCCTTAACACATCTAAACTTAACAGTTTCAGACACTAGAAGAGTAGGTCCCTTAACAATTGAGCCCTTTAGTACAATCTAACTTCCACCAATCACCTTACATACATATCCTTTAGTTAAAGGGTTGTAGAAAGTACCCTGTGCCGGGAATATCAACCAACTCAGCAAGATGATCACTCATCAAGAAATATGTTCCAGGGCTTCCTTTACCGGGAAGCTTCTCAGACCTTCCCTCCATTATGCCCAACCATGGTACCCACCTCTACGGCTGCAGGTTACATAGATTTCCCCTATTAAGACTGAATGAAATCCTGGATATTTTATTCATTCCTAGCACAGTGTCCTGAATACTTGGGCCTATCAATGCATAACAAATGATATAACATAAGCCCAACTCCTAACACTCTCTTCCTTTCCAAGTTCGTTTCTTCATCCTCAAATCCAAGGATTTCTCCTAACCATGCATGCCCCTCACAACTATTATCACTTACCAAGCTCCTCATCCCAATGTCATCGAGGGGCCTTCTTTTAGCCCACGGCCTCCAATGTCTTGTATTATCATTTAATCGGTAGTTCTTTCTCCTAACCCAGAACAGGCCGATTCCCCTCTCCAAAGCAATCCATCCCAACCCCTGTCTGACCACTCACTCGTCCAACGCTTCCGGACCAGGCCCTTCTACCCAAAAACACTTCTCACGGCGGGTTTTGCAGACCCCTTCTCTGTCTCTGTTAGTTCACCCTCTGCAGAAGCGCCTCAAACCTCCCTCGCAGCATCCCCTCCCCCAGCCCCTCGCAGCCGGCAACCCTCCCTTCTGCCTCCCCGGATCTCCGGCGGTGCAGCTTCTCTGGTAACCGTCCCCGGGGCCGTGGCTTTCACCTCTGAAACCTCCCAGCACCGCACCGTCCGAGCAGCCTCACGATCCCCGCCCGTGTCTCCAGACCCCCACCAGGGTGCGGCCCGCTGCTCACCTTGCTGGACGTCGCCGTTGGTGCCCCCGGGGATGGGCACGCTGAGCTGGCGCTCGGGTTCCGGCAGACAGCGCAGGCAGAAGGAGTGCAGGCAGGGGAGCAGCTTGGGCTCCGCCTCACGCCGGCTCTGCAAGCTCTGCTGACACACCGCGCAGGTGTCCAGGAGCGAGGCTGGTGGCCCGAGAGGCGGCCCCGACGAAGGACCCGGGGCCGGAGCCGACACTGCAGCTGGGGCCGGCGTCGATGCCGCGCCCCCGGGAACCGTGGAGCCCACTGAAGCCGCGGGGACCGAGGCGGCCGGAGCCGAGCCTGAGGAGGCCGCGGTCACCCCCCCGTCGTCGGGCCCAGCCGCTGCACCGCCCTCCACGCCAGCCCTGCTGCCGCCTTCCTCCTCCTCCTCCTCCACCAGCACCGCCGCGAGAGGCGGCTCCGCCTCCTGCGCCGCGGGCCCCGCGGCCCCGGCGGTTACCGGCGCGCTGCCGCTGCCCCCGCCGCCGCTCTCTGCCTCACCGCCGCCTTTGTTTTCCGCCATGTTTTCCTCTTTGAACCCGCCGGACCGCCCCGCGTCGCCCGCCGCTCGCGCCGCCGCCGCCGCCCCCAGCCTCAGCCGCAGCCACAGCGAGAGCGGCCGCCGAGAGCGAGCGAGGTAGCGAGCAGTCGAACGCACGAGAGCGCGCGCGCACGCCGCGCCCCCGCCCTCGCGTCGGGAGGCGGGAGGGGCGGGCACGCGCACGCACGCACGCCGTCCTCGGAGGGAGGCGGGAACTCGGGTCGTGCGCGCACGCGGAACGGTCAGCGAAGCCACTCCGCGCCTCGGGGCGGTGTATTGCGACAGAGCTGGAGTTCTGGAGCTCGGAAGGAGCTTTTAAAGCCTTAAGTTGGTGGAGCTGGGTCCCTATGGCGTGGAATTGGCCGCTAACGCCGAAGGGGCGGTGAAGCGGGGAGAAGGGAGGGAAAGCGTGCAAGGATGGAAGGCCTGCCCGCGTTCGTCCCCGAGTGAGCGTCTCCGCGGCGACGCCGTCCCCAGCGACGGGCGCGCCTCCGCGGAACCCTCACCTGTCGCGCGCTGGGACGCGGCGGCCTTCCAGCTTGGAGGTGCGGACCACCTGGGTCTCTGCTAGGTGTTCTTGAACCGCGTTCTCTAGAGGATCGTCTCCAGAGAGCAGCTAAGCAGAACCCTCACTCCCCCACCCCCACACCCCCCAAAGGTCTCCAGAAATAGGCCTCCTCCGGTGAGAAAGAAGTCTCCTAATAGCTATTTTTAGCTTCTTAAGGTGATTCTCCAACGCTGCTACATACCTGGAAGCCAATCAAATGCTTTTTCTAAACAGAGATGCCAGGGCCACACCCCAGAACAGAATCAGGAAGTTGGAGAGCGTATGAATATGTTGAACAAGTCCCTATGACTGATGTGCCAGTTTAGGAGACCACGTTTCTAGCCAGTGTCTCCGGGTGAGGTAGCTGACTGTCCTCACCGACTCAGTCATAGAAGCTTTCTGAAAGGGTTTGGTTTTGTTTGAAATCGAACCTCTCTCTACTTCAAGCTGGGATCAGACCACTTTCCCAGTGCTGCCAGAGCAGCCACCTGTGATCACCTGCAGACAGAGTTCAAGGCCAGCTTAGGCTTCAAAGTGAGACCTGGTTTCCAAAAAGAAAGGGGGGAGGGGGAATGTATGTAAGTTCAGCAACTTTTAATGTTAGGCTCAGAAATCCATCCTGGACAGTAGATACTAATGCAGGAAATGTATTTGTCTGAATCTTTGTATTTACAGAAAAAAAGTCTTTAATCCCTTCAAAATCTCTGCTGACCTCTTATGTGTTAGATACACTGGGGTTTCTGCAAAGACTAGATAGAACAAAGAAGCTCTCTGCATTCAACAAGTTGACAGATTGAATGGATGAACATAGATAGAGTGTTAAGTGCTACGGAGTAAAAATAAGGAAAGTGTAAAGGATTAGTGATGATTAAGGGCCCTGTTGATAAGGTGAAGAAGCCTGGCTTGCACAAGAGTATTCCAGATAGAGGAACAGGTCGCAAATACAAAGGGCCTGAGGCAAATAGAGATTCCTGGTTTTAGTAGAGGAACAACCTGGAGTCAGTGTGACTAGAATGAATGGCTTAAACAAGGAACTGAGAAGAATAAGAATAGCCCCCCCCCCATAGGCTCTTTTATTTGAATGGTTGGTCATCAGGGAGCGGAACTGCTTGAAAGGATTAAGAGGCATGGCCTTCTTGGAAGAAGTACTTTGCTTAGACTTGCAAATAATACTTCCAGAGTTTTGTCACTGAGCTAGCTAGTATCAAGAGAGTGAGAACAGAGCTGGGCATTGATGGTGCACACCTTTAATCTCAGCAATCGTGAGGCAGAGGCAGGCAGATCTCTTGTGAGTTCGAGACCAGCCTGGTCTACAGAGCGAGTTCCAGGACAGTCTCCAAAACAATACAGAGAAACCCTGTCTCGAAAACCAAAAAAAAGAGAGAAAAAAAAAAAGACAATAATAGGGGGAGGAGAAATGGCCCAGTGGTTAAGAGCACTGGCTGCGCTTCCAGAGGACACGGGTTCAAGTCCCAGCACCCACATGGAGCTCACACCTGTCTATAACTCCAGTTCTAGGGGATCTGGCATCCTCACATCAATGCACATAAAATAAAGTTAAATAAAAGTATTTAAAAAATAAATTAAAAAAAAGAAAAATCCCGTCAGGCGTTGGTGGCGCACGCCTTTAATCCCAGCACTCGGGAGGCAGAGGCAGGCGGATCTCTGGGAGTTCAAGACCAGCCTGGACTACCAAGTGAGTTCCAGGACAGCCTCCAAAGCCACAGAGAAACCCTGTCTCAAAAAACCAAAAAAAAAAAAGAAAAAAGAAAAAAAGAAAAATCCCTTAAAAAAAAAAGATAATAATAAAACAGAGTGAGAACAGACGTAAATTCTGCATCTAATTATTATCTATCAGCCTTTCTGTATTTCCAAGATTATTGAGAAGCACATTGGTTATTCCAATAATAAATACAACAGCATTTAAGCAGAAACTTCCAATTTACAAAGTACTTTCAAATAATTCTTGCAATTAGTAAGATGTGTTCTAATTTAGACAATAAGTAGATTTCGTTATGTGAATATATTATAATTCATTGGTAACCTTTCTAAGCAATAAAGTGATTTCTAAATTTTGTTTTTGTCTTTGTTTTTCGAGACTGGGTTTCTCTGTAGCTTTGGAGCCTGTCCTGGCACTCACTCTATAGACAAGGCTGGCCTCAAAATCACAGAGATCCACCTGCCTTTGCCTCCTGAGTGCTGGGATTAAAGTTGTGAGCCACCCCACCTGGCTCTAAATTTCAATTAAAAAACAATACTGTGAAGCCAGTAGGTGGTGAGGGGGGGAGCAGAGGCAGAGGCAGGCGGATCTGTCTGAGTTGAAGGCCAGCCTGACCTGAGGGAGTTCCAGGACAAGGAGGGCTACTCAGAGAAACCCTGTCTCAAAAAAAGAAAGAAAAAAGGAAGGAAGGGAAAGGGAAAAACACAGAAACAAAATACTGTTATAAGCACTGTACATGCAAGCAAGCATTCATAAAAAAAGTTTTAATCATATAAAAATTTTAAAAGATAATCTTTATATGTCTCCAATTATTTCTTCTGATTATTCTTTTTTTTTTTTTTTTTTTTTTTGGTTTTTTCGAGACAGGGTTTCTCTGTGGCTTTGGAGGCTGTCCTGGAACTCGCTTGGTAGTCCAGGTTGGTTTCGAACTCACAGAGATCCTCCTGCCTCTGCCTTCCGAGTGCTGGGATTAAAGGCGTGCGCCACCAACGCCCGGCCTCTTCTGATTATTCTTAAAAATTAAATTACTAATTCAAATATGACCATTTTAAAGGTTTTTAACAATAAAATGCAAATCTCTTAGGCTATTAAATCAGGCTAGGCAAGAACTCTTTGAACAGAACAATAGCACAGGACTAGCTCCAAATTTCAACAGATGGTGACTACATGTAATTAAAAGTTTCTTCCGGGCGTTGGTGGCGCACGCCTTTAATCCCAGCACTCGGGAGGCAGAGGCAGGCGGATCTCTGTGAGTTCGAGACCAGCCTGGACTACCAAGTGAGTTCCAGGACAGCCTCCAAAGCCACAGAGAAACTCTGTCTCGAAAAAAAAAAAAACAAAAAAAAAAAAAAGGGGGGGCTAGTGAAATATTTTCCAAAAAAAATGCATGTTAATGGCTAATAACTATTTTTTAAAATGTTCAATTTCCATAGTCATCAGGGAAATAAAAATAAAAACTACTTTGAGATACCACTTCACCCCAGTCAAAATGGCTATCATCAATAAACCTAAACACAAATGTTGGAAAGGATGTGGAGAAAGAGGAACCCTTATTTAAAAAAAATAGTTTTGATGCATTTTTTCCTAAATATGAATGAAGTTAACTTTCAGTTATTTTCACATTTATCACTCCAAAGATCTCTATTTCCTCATATTCCACACTCTGGCCAGATTTCCCGTCATAACACTCTACCAAAACTGCTTTCACCAACACTATGGTTTATTTCTTTCTTTTCTTTCTTTCTTTCTTTCTTTCTTTTTTTTTTTTTTTTGCATTAAGTGTACATGTTTGACTCCTAACCATCATTGTCTTCTCAAAGGGATTTAACAGTTTTGCCCTCTCCCTCTTCCAGTATCACTTCCTTGGCTCTCAAGACACCTCCCTCTCCTGGTTTTCCTCCTGCTACTTGAACTTCTGTTTCCATGCTCCACACTGTCAGAGGCCCACTACCATATTTAGGCTTAGTGATTTGCTGAAAGAACCTACACAATTTCAAAAGTCTACTGTAGCTTATTAAAGATGACAGGTATAGGTGAAAATCATCAAAGGCAAAAGACTTGGAGAACAAAGTCCAGTAAACAGACTCAAAGTTTCTAGGTGTCCCCTCATGTTAGAGTTGTTAGTTACCCCAACAATGATATGTGCCAACATGTGTATTGTGTTGTCAATCAGGGAAGTTCACCCAAGCCATGCTGTCAGGGTCTTTACTGGGAGTCGGGCTATAGACATCAATCCCCATGTGACATCTCAGCTACTAACCTTGTCCTCCCAGAGGTCCACTTCTTCAAGCAGACAGAAACTCATACTAGAGTGTCCCAGGGACTCAGACATTATTTCTCAAGAAGCCTAAAGACAAGCTTTTCATTACATGTGCACAATTTGAACATTTAGTCCTACTAAGCTAACTTTTTTGTTTCTTGAGGCAGAAGCAGATGGGTCTCTGTGAGTTTGATGCCAGCCTGGTTTGCAAAGCAAGTTCTAGGACAGTCAAGGCTGTTACAGGGAAACCTGTCTTGAAAAACAAAAACAAAGAAACAAAAAAGTGCCGGGCATTGGTGGCGCATGCCTTTAATCCCAGCACTCAGGAGGCAGAGGCAGGCAGATCTCTGTGAGTTCGAGGCCAGCCTGGTCTACAGAACGAGTTCCAGAACAGCCTCCAAAGCCACAGAGAAACCCTGTCTCGAAAAACCAAAAAAAAAAAAGAATCCTGGGAGTAAAGGCACAAGCCACCACTGCCCTTCATAAACTAACTTTTCATGAGTAGAGCCATTAAATGTTG